CCTATCAAAGGTGTCACCTCTGGAGACAGAGTGTTGCTGAACAGTGTGCTATCCGCGATAGGGACATTAGTGCCATTCCTACTTTCCATAAGAATAACTGATATTGAATACATCCTTATTCACTGGTTTGTAAAGTGTAGTGTCAGTGTAGAAACCTGGCCGAGGGAATACATCTTCCTATCACTATCAGAATGATCTTTATTCGCGACACCAAAAAGCAAACCTTACAGCAGGGATGAGACTCCCTGAATTGCAAAGAGTTTGCGTACAAAAATTACAACGGACAAGGAAGGCAATGTATACAATCCCTCATATACATTATTTTGTACAAAGCACAACTTTATACAGATGAGGTTTAGGAAAGATAAACATGCCTATGAAGTTGGACCTGACATGCCGATAGGATGTTCATGATAAACAGTGGAGATGTTTAGTACTTCTTGGTGTGATTCTTTAAATCATGAGAAACTTTTTCTTCACTTTGGCACCAATCCAACTATCTACTTCACACTGATGTTGCCAGACGTTTCCTCGGAGACTGGTGACTACGATTTGTGCCCCAGGGACGATGATAACATATTACACCGACAGTGATACAAAAAGTTCCCGCTCAACGGCAATCCATCATTTGGAGTGAAGTGCAATACAGGACTTCTTCCAGAAAGACCATTGTCACATCTATGCCTATCTATATACACATACAGCCCCTGTCACACAATCAGAACCTTCCATCAAACACCGGCCGACCGAGGATGGCTGAAGTTTGGGAGCAGTTTGACCAATTGTTAGCCACGCCTAGTTTACTTGACGAATTACAATTAAATTTGAGTCAAATTTGACTGCCAACCACATCACGAACACCAGCCAACCCTGGTAAAACCTCTCGTCCACACCCGAATGTTTTCAACATTTTGAAATATTTGATCGGTTGGTCCAGCCAAACAGTAGCCGACCTGGCCGAACACCAGCCGACCTTGCTCCCGACCTTCTCCTGACCATGGTTGGGCGAAGTTTGGCTAGCATTCCAAAGGCTATGTGTGTGACAGGGGCTGTCATCAGCAGAAGCAGTAAATAGAACCAAATCGTTTAATGTACTCCAAAGACTCAGAATCCGATCCCTTTGACGGACAGATGTACGGGGGCGTTAAAAGACAAATGCTTGTTATTAGATAAAGCGATCAAAATGTCTGTATGGCTGCATGCAGTGCTAACCGTAAGGCAGATGCACCCTGTCGACATCCCCATCAGATGTCTGGATGTGGTCCTTTAATAGGGATACAAAGTACATTAGCTAAAGTATCCTATCAACGGCAATCGTTCTTGTCATAAAACATATTGATCTCCTGTGAACTCCTAACTTGTATCGCATCTTCATTTGGCCTCGACTGGTCAATAAATGTAGAATTGATGTCAGCAAGGATGAAACGTAAGAGCTTACGAACACAGAGAGTGGAGTACCAAGATTCGTACCATGCTGGGGCCTGAAACATTTATTCTAACAACACGCTGCTCGGCTTTTCTGAGAGCACACCATGCGATACATCTCTGGCGAATACGAACGGTTTGTTTGACTGGTTCAACGCCAATTACGTGCGAGCGCCGTAAGTAAAGATTTTATCTCACATCCCTGTATCAATCAGCGCCGTTTGGAGAGGCTCCCTTCGATGCAATCTCGTCACTCAAGTTGATCTTCGTTTGGATAGTTTGTATCTTATTCGGCCCCTGCGGCAGTAGTGCTTTTCTCTCCTGTAGTGTGAAAAATCTTAATGCATTTACGCTGTACAAAGGCGTGACTTTGTTGAGAGGGCCTAGGAAAACTAATGATGTGTTTCTAATTTCTGTCCTAACAAAAAATGTACAGGCTAACTGTGTATTCTCATCATTACCCCCACTCGATTATAACATTATATCAAAGACAGACGTGTGCTAGCCCTTGTTGTTTGAGTAATTAGGATTTATTAGGTTTTACTCCGTACATGTATTAGGTCTTATTCCTTACTGTTTTGGTACTTTGTTCATTAGTCGTTGTACCATGTGCACCTGTCGTGCAATAAAGTTCTTCTATGTGTAATGCAGTTCGGGAGAAAGCCAGCCACGCAAAATGACTTATGGCTTACTTCCCAGCCAGTTGTCTTACAGCTGGTGCCTTGCAAGCTAGGGGGTAAATAACACTCGTAAAATGTGCAGCCGTTTGGTCTGTGCAACATTTTATTTCCAACCTGGAGGTCATGGTTAACTTTCCCCATATGTCATTCCGTAAAAACTCAAACCGATGATGCAGATCTTAGTTTTTGGTCATTTTACAACAGACCTCAGGTTTTGGTTATCATTAAGTATATTTTACGGTATAGTAGATTTCAAGAGCATCTTTGCTATACACAGATTTGAATATATCTTTAAATGCAACAACTTCCCGAATATAATAAGATAAATACATTGCACATAAAAGACGTCTGTGCAGCATTTATTTGCAACCCAGGAGGCCAGGGGTAGATTTCCCTATTTATTATTCTGTAACGGATGAGGCAAATCTTTTGGCAGAGTTTCTGGTCATCATTAAAATACATCTTACAGTAGATTTCAAGAGAATCGATGATACAGACAGATTTGAATATGCAATTTAAATGCAACTTCCCCCAATGTAAAAAAAAGTAAATATATAAAAGATTTCTTGGTTTCGTCGATGAAGGTTAGACATCCAGGTAATACGATACGCCAAAAAGCAGTTACTCAAACAACTGGATATGGATACTAGCTGAAACGTCTGACGTTTTCAAAATCATATCCAGTTGCTTGAGTAACTGCTTTTTGGCATTTCTTGGTTTATTATAAAAATACCGAAACTCATAATTGTCCGTACTTAATTGTCATACTATATTGAAGAATTATGCTAGCCCTTATTGTTTTGAAAATGTTGTTTAGGATGTTAACTTTATTTCTATACGTCTACCTCTTTTTTTAACTATGTTCAATAGTTATTGCCATACATTTTACACGATTGACTTCTTTCTCACACGACAGCCTCGCGTTGTCGATGCATTTATCTTTAGGAATAATCAGAGTGATCCGTCATACAGCTTTGACAACGATAACTCCTTGAAAAATTGTAAACTGCTTGGCAGGTGCTTAAGTATGTCGCTACATATGAAATCCTAAGCTCTAAGAACGCATAAGGTATTACAGCTGCTGTATGCGCTTTCTTTAAGTTGTCTTTAAACAATAAATCTATGGATATGTACTTTCTATAGTCGTAAATGGTTACCATCATACCTGTAAAGACGATGGTGCTGTAAAAAGGTACTTTACATATATCTGAATAAGAGATTGTTATCAACAAAGCTACTTTATATACAATATATATACTTTCTATAGTTGTAAATGGCTGGCATGGTACATTTAAAGTTGGTGGTGCTGTAAAAAGGTACTTTAGGTATATCTTAAGGACATATTGACAACAAAGTTACAAGGGAAGCTAGCTACCCATGACATGAAATGACAACATGGAGTTATATGTAGGTAGTTTTACTGCAAATATCACGATATAGATGTCATTGTAAGTTCATGAGAAACTACCACCACACTTTCATGCTTCCAAATGATAGAACTTCGGAAGCGCTTCTCGTGAAACTAAGAAAGCAACATACCAAAAAAAGGTTCAAATTTGTTGTAGTCTATTTATAATGCATTTTAATCGACCCAGAGGGTTAGATACGTTTAATGCATGGTGTCACAACGATTCTGCATGAAATTCCCTGACAGTAACTGCATGCCAACAAGTATGGGACATAACGGTATTTCTAACCTGTTTCTTTTATGTAACGTTAGTGTATCCAATATGTTTGGAATCTCCTCTTTTAAGGATTTCTATTTTAATTGTAAATTGGTGTTTAATTCAGTAGCAACACTGCGATATCCAATAAAGTTATCTTGTATCTATTTGAACGTTTCACCTACAGCAATATCGTCGTATACGTTATCGGACCGCAGCACATTTTACACAATTGATAACAATATCCCTCCGCCATCATAAATTTCTCTCGTCACCTGCACAGATGGTTTGTTCGCTAATGGTCCTGAGAGAAAGTATCTGCACCCTAAGGGAGGCCATCTGTGCACCGTTCTTCCACATTACATCTTACATTAGCAAAACACTATTTTTATGTCTCAATGCATCTAAGTTCATGGACACAGCTTGTCAACATACATGCTTGTAGCATGAACTAAAAAGTGCACTGTCAGAAACCTACTGTTGGTTTTCGTTAATGCGTATAGTATGCAATCATCATTCATTTATTTCATTGCACCTAATGGACTATAAAGTTATGGCAGTTGATACGTAATGGAGTAGATTACACTCGTTTGAGGCAAAGTTTATGGCCAAATAAGTGTGCCTATTAATCAAACTTGTTATTCCTGTGCTGTTGACGTACATTTACTGTGCTCCATTAGAAGTAACTTGCTCGTAACATGTATACTCTTCTGTGGTAAACATGGTTGGTAGCGTGCGTAATGTGTATGTGTGGTTTTCTGTTGGTTGATAAATGGATATGTTTACTACATCGATGTACCGGGCCATAGTGAGTGAATTGTACCAAGGCAAAATATCACTTCATAAAACATCCATTCTTACCATGAAAACGGTACACTCCTGTGGCCAGTGTGGGGTATGCTAGCTTTGTATGCTATCTTATTATGTTTACCTTCGCAGAAGGAACAAATAAATTCAATGACCTGGACCAGACGTCTGCCACCATGGTAACTTGTGGTGTTGGGTTACATTATGTAGCAGAACAGAGTTGGAGAGGCTGCTCATCGTAATTACATAAAAATGTCTTTGACTTTGAGTAATAATAACCGTGCATTACTTTGTTGTGTTAGAATAATTGAATGTAAAAATGCATTTGTTTTGACAATGTTACCTTTCTAATATCTGATAATAAGTCTAGAGGGAGGTAAAAATTTAGCACTAGATTTAAACTGTATGTATCTTTCACCTCCAGTGTCTCTGAACGGCAGACCGGGTGTTCAGGTCCAGCGGTTCGCCGTGCAGGCTCGAGAGATCAGCAGTTTCCGTCCCGTGGGAACATTCGTCAACCGGCCCAGCACTGGTAAGATTCTTGTGCTGAAAGATGTTAGACTGCATATTCACACGACTAATGTGTTTTAGATATACTGGTATACGCTGTCCAGCTTGCAAATGATGCGAAAGATCTTCCAATAGAAGAAAAAGCAGAACACTACCAAACACAACAGCATAGCGTCACTTCTAGACTTCTAGACACTTCTCTACTCAGCATCAAAACCTTTTTTGCAAGGAAACAAAAAGAAAGAAAAACCCTCCAGCTGCGAAATGCCAGCAATTAGCAAGATATGCCAAGAAAAAGGCTGTTTACAGTTGGTTTGGATGCCCTCACCAACGGGTACTCAAAATGGCCTTCTGCGCCTGCGGGAAATGGTGATCTTTGCATGCATGTAGAGGTGAACTTGAACATTTTGCCTGCGTTTGAACTCTGAAAGCAAGTGTGTAAGAACCTGTTTTGGTACTTGTTGTTGTTTTCCAATGGACCAGCCCAAACTGTAGACTGTGGGCATCAGAATGACACCATCATCAGTCGCCATGGTAACGGCACTGAGACACGGAACCTGAGTCTGACATGGACCGCTCCCAACAACACAGAAATCGGTGACGTAGAGTTTATGTGAGTAGAAAAATATAACCTAATATTACATCCACTTCAAAATTTTTTCATACGTATAAACCATCAGTAAATGACAACATATTTACTCATCTGCGGATTGATTCCTATTGTTTTATTTATTTATCTACTGATTCTTACTGGATCACCGTAGCGTTAATTTACAGCAATTCGAATAGTTACTTCTTTAGTCATTAGGGATAGCCCCATTGGACAATAATGTTTGAAGAGCTTTTGATCAATTACTTACGTCACGTATCAGTAAAGTCTCGTGTGAATAAGGTCACGTGTTTGTAAACCGTAACTCTCGCGAGATCACGTTGTGAAGTGATTGGTCATTAATTATCCCGATGAAGGCGACAGTGGTCGCTGAAAATTTGATCTCTGTGTAGTACTTGAGTTGGAATTAAGTTTTACATTTTACTATGATTACCACATGTACCAACACAGATAAACTTCCATAATAACGTGTTTTGTTTCTGCAGAGCTAACGTCAGACAGGTGGGAGAGGCAAGCTGGGCTAACCTCAAGTCAAGACGGGTCAGACAAATAGGTACGAAACAGTCTCCTTCATAAAGCCAAGAAATACGTTTTAAAAAAGAGTGGCTGGGCCAGATTTCACTAAGTACGACTGTGAGCATAGATGTGTATCAGCAAAATTCCAAGAGTTTCAGACATTCCTGTGGACATTTCATGCCTGTGGATAAAATTCTTGTACAATTCCTAGAATTCTTGCAGACTGCACACAATACTGTACCATTAGGCTTTCCTTAGGCGTCGCCAAAAACAAAAAGGTATCTTGTAGTAGGAAGGTGAAAGAAGAATCCGGAGGGAGGTATTATTTAAAACATGGCATTCCCCACTGATGCATAGCTGACGGATAGATCGTGCGCGGAATATACATTAAGGCAGCATGAAACTTTCGCAAAATATCAACAAGTAGCAATTGAGCCTAAAGGGTCATAGCAGTACTGTCCTTTTCGTTAATAGCAGCAAGTACGCCTTCGGAAACACCTTCAGCGTAACGTCTTTCTAAACACCCCGTCGTCTCTTGGCAAGTTGCCCTCCTTCCTCCTCCTTCCCATGTTGATACTTCACCTTCAAGATTTTCCTGGGAGAGTTTGTCTCCACGCCTTCTAAGTCAACCTGACATTCAGAAATCCTGTGAAGCAGGCGACTACGCAAATCTTCCTGACTCTGAAAGGCAGGGTGACGGCGGGGAGCTGGGATATGGATGGCGGTGCAGGCAACATTTCCGGCCCGGCTTTCAACTGACGTATAGTGTGATGTTGACTTTTCGCTGCAGCGTGTGTCATTGTCATCAATCGGGCTGTTCAAATAAATAACTGTGGAGGGGGTGGAAGAGGCTGGATTGGAGGCAGGGAGGGAGGGTAGGGGTTTGAATGTCTGGATACGGAACTAGGGAGCGTTGGAGCAAATCTAGACAAGGAACTATGGAGGGTTTGAGCAATTTTGAACTGGAACTACGTTATGTAGCAACATGGCAAGACAGAGTTGTAAGTGCTGGTTTATGTTATAAGAACAAAGCAGTGGGATGCTAGGCTAGTCCATGTGAAGGTTAACATTATGAATTTGCTTGGAAAATGTTACCTTTCTAGTTTTGTTGTTGTTTTGGTCTTCTAGAACCGAATTTCCCGCCGATCAACATGAGTGAATGCGGGACGGTGAAGGGGTGTTTCCGGTACGGTAAGAAAGACTGCACGGCGGAGACTTGTCGCTACGCCATGTCCTACAGAACAGAGGGAGAGAACGTCGTGTTCGAGCTGGCGGCCGACACAGACGGATGGGTGGCCGTGGGCTTCTCGTCTGACAGGATGATGGTAATATTTTAATTTTTGATATAACCTTCGGGGTAGCGCGCGTAGTTCAGTGGTTAGCAACCCTGCTTCTGGACCAAGAGGTTGGGAGTTCGAGTCCCAGCACGATACTGGAAAGGGTCACAGTCCCTATGATGGGACGTTAAGCTGTGGTCCACTGTTCATTGTATCTGTATCTGTATCAGTTTAGCCCGTATAACAGCCATTCGGCGTAACACACTAGCTTGTGCTTGTACTTATCGAAAAGGGCTAGGAGAATTTCTCTACGGCCTCAAAATTATCAGATTATGGGACTACCAATTGAAACTAAACTTGAATTTGTAGGCATATGGACTACGTACCTGTGATGACGTGTTTGTGTTTGCGCTCCTACAGAACGGAGATGACGTCCTGGCCTGTGTGAACGCCAGGAAAGGGCGCCAGGAAAGGGTGCTGTTCCGTCACTACTACAACAACCACCACCGGCCAGCACAGCAGGTACCGGCAAATGTATTGTTTATTGTTTATTTGATCGATCTCCATTAGTGCGTACAACAATAATACAACACTAGTCTTCCTGGAGTCGTTTGAATACAAACACTGTCTTATACTATACATACATATATATACAAGAAGCGAACGTAACTTAAATACAACATGGCAAATAAAATGCAACATAGCGATGAAATGTGACATGGGAAATGAGAATACAATATAGGGTATAAAACTGCTGAGAGGTCAGAGGTCTCAATACAGTTAAGAACAAGTAATTTTATACATCAGTCGTCGCACTACCACCATGATTGCAGAGGTTGGGAAGTGTCCACTTTAGTTTTCAGCCAATCCCTGATATGTTTCTTAAAAGTTGTAGGTGAAGACAATCTGATGTGTTCAGGAAATAAGTTGTAAGTTTTGATGCATCGATACAGGAATGTTCTTTTGGCTGAGGCGGTTTTCGGCTTTGGTAGTTTGAAGCCACCTCTGTGTGCTAAGCGTGTGTTATGTTGATGTGTGTCAGTGACTCTTTGTAAACGTTTGTACTGACACAAGAAAACAACATAACATGTTTAAAGTCAAAACGTTTGACACAACACTATACGTTCTCTTACCAAGAGCGCTAGCTTTCAACCAGTCACTCTGATCTTCCTCAGTAGACTGACCCAGTGAGGCTTCACTCAGCCGCGACGGGGGCTGACATCGTCTACAAGATACCCTTGACCCTATGTTGTCGTCACAATTAAAAGAAGCCACGTGACAAACCTCACTGGGTCAGTCTACTGAGGAAGACCAGAGTGACTGGTCGAAAGCTCTAGGTGAGAGAACTTTATTGTGTTAGATTTAAAGTTTTTTTTACTTTAAACAAGTTTCTACCTTTCTTGTCTAAACTTCAGGACATCAACCCGATCATCGGGCACGGAACGCTGGTGCGAGACGGGAGGATCTACTGCCGCTTCACCCGGCCCAGGAAGGTGGATAACGATAACTACAGTGTGGATCTGGACGCCACGTGGTACTTTCTGTACGCATGGGGACCCGCCAACGACGGTAGGACCATCTCAAATATCTATTTATGATTTATTTATGAAGATTGACCACATTTGTGTAAGTTGACATACCGGTGACCATCATTTTTTCAAGATGTCAAACCTGAAACCAGACAGTAAGGTTTGGACTACTCACTTTTCGACAAGTGTGGTGGATCTTTAACGTGCTCCGGCTTTACGTCCTATCTAAGAGTATCTATCCAGCTTCTAACAAGGAGACAGACCGCATTTAAGATGAGTGCAATTTGTAATTTGTAACCTACTAAAATTCCATAAAGGTCACCACAAAACAATTGAAGTTTTAAAAGCCTCTAGAGGATAACTTAGAGATAGACAAGAGAGTGGGATAGAATGATGGACTTTAGGATACCTTGGTCCCTATTGTGTGCTAAGTATTCACTTCTTTTTCAGGTAATATCATGAGACATACGCTCGAATCGCCACCGACCTCCTACAGAAAAGTGATCATCACATCCAAAGTAGACGACCAGCGGGACTCTTCCAACCCAACCACCGCCAACATACTACTGCTATGTTCAACGATTCTTCTCTGCCAGTTTCTAAAACACTGATTTCACAAAGCAGCTGAAGCTGTGGTATCCAGAACCATGGTTTATCCAGAACCATGCTATATCCAGAAGCATGCTTTATCCAGAACCATGCTTTATCCGGAACCATGCTTTATCCAAAATCATGCTTTATCCGGAACCATGCTTTATCCAGAACCATGATTTATCCAGAACCATGTTTTATCCAGAACCATGCTTTATCCAGAACCATGCTTTATCCAGAACCATGCTTTATCCAGAACCATGCTTTATCCAGAACCGTGCTTTATCCAGAACCTTGATTTTTCCCGAACCATGCTTTATCCAGAACCATGCTTTATCCAGAACCATGCTTTATCCAGAACCATGAGTCAGGAATGGTTCTGGATAGTCAACGCGTATCCAGAACCGTGCCTCTACGTTCTTGGATACGCGGAGACTATCTCGAACAGTGCCATATCCTAACTCTAATCCATGTAGGCATTATAAGGAATAGGTAGGCACGGTTCTGGATACAATAGAAGCAGTTTTAGGGACAGTTTTGCACTGATTTTGTGAGACAAGGACCACTTATATATCAAGGGATCCGGAGTGTTTTTTTCTAGAAGGTAAAAACACAGTAAAATCAATGTGACATAACACTATAATTATGGTACACAGGCAACTACTACGTAAGTCATTCCCAGCATTTTTCAACGTTGAGGAAAATCATATGTTGATTATAATGTTACTTAAAAGATAATGAAAGATTATTTGTCATCTTTGTGTGAAAACTACATTTCGACATGTGTTAAATCTTGATAGAAAAAAAACGTGAGCAATGTAATGACGTCATAACTCAAAATGTATGATTTTGATGAGAAGAAAACGAAATGGACCAATATCTGGACCAAGAGCATAAGCAGCTGAACAGTCAGCTAACTAGCAATATAAATATAAAGACATTTCTTTATAAGCGGTACATCTATGTATGATCATGTGAATTGTTATTGTTATTCATATTTGTAGCTGGTTTTCCCAGTGCCTAAGCCTTATAAAATTACACTGAAATGAATAATAGCATTTTTGTATGTGTGGTGACTGTTACTCGTACACTCCAAGCAGAGGTTGTGGGGGAATGATCGTTACATTCTTATATATTGCCGTTTTTTTTGTCCTGACCCCCACCGTTGGTGGCCGCGGACTTTCTCTGGCTAATGGATACTGCCTGGCCAATTTGATACACTCTTTTTGCCACCGAGAGGGATCTGCTTGGAGATTAGTGACTGTACGCTAGAATGGGTAATACTGTAGACGTCGTTGATCACTAAGCGTAATTAAATCATACATGTTTTTGAATGGTAACAATGTTGTACATACTACACAATACCGGTAATTTGTGTAGTGTTAATTTGGTTAAGTAACAATTAATGTCAAATACGATATTTTATCCAATTGAACGAAGATATACGCAGCCAAATGTTGGCCTTCAAATATCTGAATTATTAACATTGTTGGAACAATATTTATAAAGATGAAGAAAAGCAATTGAATAAAAGCACTTTGTAGCTTACGTACGTGTGACATTTTCTTTGGACCTATCGACATTGGTAGAAAAAACAATTGAATATTGTTGAAGAGATTCATCCGTCAAGTGCATTTAGTAGAATATTTCTCAATCAGAAGATCTGCACAAGTCTCGACCCAGTCTCGTGTTCTCGCGAGACTAGGTCACTCCGTGAACAAGATGAACAGTGGACATCGAAAATTTGGAGGTACGTGTTTCTACCTTTCAAAACGGTCACTGATTGATGAATTTCTACTAACTGCTAATCTTACGTGACTGATGAACCTCTTCAATCAATTACATAGTGGATTTAAGATTTCTTTAGTCGTATTCATGCCCATAATGTAAACAAAGATACGAAGACTTCATACTATATTTTAACAAGGTAAATGCACTTACCGTTTGCTTCTAGCAGAATCCCCATTCTTAGCACGGTCTTGTACACAACTAATTCTCCGAACTTGGGCCCTGACTAAGCTAAGCTAAAGCTGGCTTGTACTCTGGAGTTGTCACAACTCGCTCACTCGAAGTGGAACATCCGGGGCCTTGACCCTTGACCCAAAACCCGATTACAGTATTATGACTTTACTCAATCACCAAAAAAAATTACGGTCAATTTATTTAACGAAACATTCCAGAAATCTCACCTGTACACACGTTTAGGTGGTATTCGAAGAGTCACATTTCTTAAAAAAAACACCCACAAATTTAGATAACGTAATATAAAAACAATGACAATGTAAAAAGCTGAGCAACATAACACAGAATGAAGGTGCATGGACCCACTCAAAATTACTTTCTTTTCGGATCCCAAAATTTAATCTAAAAACTGTCTTTTCATAAAAATGTTGTTCATTTTTATTTATTTTGTAATCCCTTGCGTTATTTATTAGCCTCGACTCATACTCCTGCGCTTCAGTAACTACCCGCTAGAGGGCGGTAGACTTGCGAGCTTTGAGGATGTACACATCACCAAACCCTTGCTGCTTGCAACCTGGAACTGTCGAAAGAAACATGAAGATTGTATCTAAAGGAAAACCGGGTTGTGTGTGAAAAGTGTCAAGTTCCACACTGTGTTCTAGTATACCGCCAAAATATCAAGCACAGAATGCAATCTATTCTGTCCCACTATATGATTCTCTCATAGAAACTAGACAATAAAACATATGAATTGACGTACAGTTGTGTTGGTAGACAACATATGAATGAAGTATAAACTTTACAGGCCAACACTGAAATTATGAGAGGGTGGGGGGGGGGGCTGTAGTTTAACTTCACGTAACATCCTTGGATGGTAGGTCATGTGTAGCCTCTACCAGGCTTCGTGAGGCGGCTGGAAAGAGGAGGGATTGGCCAAATAGAGAGATTATATGTTAAACATGCCGAAAACTATACTCTCTAGCGGACCAACTCCCCTGGCATGTTATTTCTCTATTTGGCCAATTTCTACTCTTTCCAGCCGCCGCCTGAAGCCTGGTAGAGGCTACACATAACCTACCACCCAAGGATGAAGCCTGGTAGTAGAGGCTACACATGTCATGTGAGAGCCCACCCCACACCCAGCGTGTTAACCTCGTGACCGAACCTCTCCATACCTGTGGTTCGGGGACTCCCCGAGTACAAATAAACCTGCTTACGGCATCAACACGGCTTCCTAGGTTAGGCCACACCGTCTTAATGTTATGGATGACATCCTCTGAAGACCCCCAAATTAGTGCGCGCGGGAAAATAAAAAAAAATTCCGACCAGACAATTAAAATGCTACTATAAAAATAACCCACAGGAATACAAAGCTGGTACATGTATTGTGAATTTGCAGCAGTACTTAGCGGCGTATACGACAAGCCGGCACATGTTGGATTTTTCGGGATTTATGAATCGGTACGTACATGTATGTACGAGTTCTTGAGTCGTGGAGCTTCGGTAGCCTGGGTGCGATCCTCCAGAGTTACCACAGGCTCCGCCGTATTGTCGCTAACAACCATGGACTACCCAGGCCTAGCGCCAGGCCAGATCCCCTCGGTGGACGTGTTGAGAACAGGCGAAAATCAATGCGCGCGCGGATGTCATCCATAGATTTAAGACGGTGTGGCCTTAGCAGTAAGCGGGAAGATTTGCGGCCAGGTTCGGTATCTTCCTGCGGACGTCCCCGGCTTTAGTTCAGGACGATCCGGACGACAGAAATCTGCTTCCTTCCGAACCTGGGGACACGATTTGAGAATTACTGCTCTCCGATGACAGATTATGAACAGATAACTATCAATGGTATGTTCAGGAGGGCTTCCAAGAATAGGACAAGCTTTGTATTAACCATTAGAGGTAAGAAGATCTACTGAAAACTGAGCAAATCAGAGTACAAATCTTCGTCAATGTATTGAAACAAATAGGAATATAGTTGTTGATAGTTCATGGATTTCCAGTGTTATGGGGTGTCGAAGAGTGACGAAAACTGACGAGTTTTGCCGAACGCAAAGCGACGACCTCACGACAGCTGCCGAAGTTTAAAAAACGGTCCTCACGATAGTAAATTGCATAGTTATGATCTAAAACCAACATATATTCGCTCGACTTTTACCGAAGTATGGTACAAATTTCGCACATGTTCACAGCTGAAATGGTCACCCTTCATTGCTCGTCGGTCATTCTTTCATAGAAGTACAACGTATGGCAAGGACTACTGAACAAAGTACAAACAGAAAAGGGAATTTAACATCCTAATCACTAAACATCTAGAGATAATACTGTATACAATTAAAGTAGGGCTAATTATCAGATTCGGCAATTTCTAATAACAAAACAGTCTTTTATGTGTTTACTTATTTTTGCATTGTATGTATGAGTTGCTATGCATGCCCATATACTTGAGTCCATAAATTGGTGATTTAGAAAACACAGTCACGCATCCACATTCCTGGGGCACACTTCTCCCATCCGATAATTTGCGTAGTCATGATCTAAAACTAAGATATCGTTACGACTTTTATCGAACATAATACAACATGTTCACAGCTGTCATTGTCACCCTTTATTTTTCGGCGGTTATTCTTTCGTGCGCACATCTGCATCTGTATAGCCGGTACAACCACCCTTCGGGCTTCGCAAGCACGCGGCGCGGCGGCGGCACCTGGCTACATTATACACCGAAAGACTTGTTACACCTAACCCTTGAACATCTAACTCATTGTTTAAAGCTATCTATATCTAATGATGATGCCCCTACTGTACTTGGTGACACATACTCGATACCACAAAGTTATGATTTCGACAACACAGTCACGCATCCACATTCCTGGGGCACCCTGCTCCCGTGCGTACGTGCTAAGTGGAAATCCTGCATGAATCTGCTAACACGAACCTCGCCCCTTTAATTGGACGGGAAGAACGCCAACAATGTGCCGCCAATATTTGATAAAGTCTCCGCTATGACAACGCGGCTACCGCAAAATGCGCGCCCGGGACATCCGCGTGTTTGTGGTCACAGTGGTATGGAGGTACAAATACTCGGGCGGAAAGAGAGTACTTATCTGTTAACAAGTTATAACATGTTTAAGCTGACCTTTACTTAAGAAAAAAATCCTTTATCCGTTGTTACCGGTAGAGTTGACGGATAAATTGGTCAATGATTACTTGCGATCATACTGGTGATATCACACGGTGGTCCCGTTGCTATGTTAAAATCCTCGTTGCTAAGCAAATAGGCCCCGCCCACAACCCGGTGCGCTGTGAGCAGCGGCAGTGTTCAGATAAACAACACAACTTTCGCCCAATATAACGCACGATGCGATTATGAAGTTAGAAAAAGAATCACGCACACACAAAAAAAATTAGTTCGCTCCCGAAATATGTTTAAAATAAGAAATGACAACGTAGAATGCAATTCAAATTTCCCGCCGACTGTACGTGCGTACGTGAGGTCATTTTGGGTCATTGAACTTTAACCTACCGCTACATTTCGCTAATTTACGCATCAAACATATGTTTTATCCATACTGTAAACTTTAGGACCTTTAAATTCCATTTCTCTTGTAGAATTTTTGTTGTCTGTGAGTTTTTAACTTATTTTGTCGATTTTCTAGTATGTTTTCTCCCATAATTCCATAACGGCGCAAGAGAATTACGTCATTTTTTTCAAGATGGCGGCCAGATGTTTACTTTTTCGATTGGTGTATTTTTTATAGAATTCTACCGATAGGATCGGGAGATATTGCTCAAAATACATTTTCTGCGTTTTAGTTCAAAATTCACGTGGAACAGAGGGTTTGTTTTAGAGTTATAATGAGGACGTCGGTGGAGATCAGAGTGGTTCGTTCTCACCTTCCTCCCGGGAAGGCCAGTGAAATGGAAATTTCGACCAGCGTGGCCCTATTGTTCTCCTCCCGGGCGCGAGTTTTAAAGACAACAGTGCGTTGGCTCGATGCAAATCAACCGCGATACTGTCCCTTTGAGAAGATTTTCTTTGACAGTTCAAGGAATTTTTCCAGTCGTATATATCGTATTTATCAGGGAAAGTTCATATTCCCCCAAGTGGACGCCAATCATTGTACCGTGAAAAAGAGAAGTCAAAACTACGTCGCGGTAGCGAACGAGAATAAAATTTACTTCCCCACCGTATGTTTTTTTAAGCTTCTTGGCTTATTTGGGCGACATCATATGGTAAATCTAAAACTATCCCCATCCGTTCCGTCGTGCAACCGTGTCGAAGTCGTCGGTTGGAACCTGAAGCTCCATGGTTTGAAGAAATAATTTTGACAAAAATCACAAAAGCTTTGTGTCGGCACGCGCGAGTAACTGAAACCATGGAGGTTTTTTTTCTACCTCCATGCTGAAACATAGCATCGACAGTGATCAACAAAAATGGTTGCTAGAGATAGAACGCTGAACATTGCCTTGAATGTGTTATTTGGGATTTGAAATGCAGGTAGGTGGATAACCTCCTTAGCACGAATTAAAAAAAAAGGGGCTGTAGGTTTATAAACTGTGACACAAATGGCGTCGGTTTGTAAACAAAGGAAAAAGGAGGGAACCGGTCTAATCCAGATATGTTGTGAAAAAACTCTGGCTTCAGCCGACTTTCTTCTACAAAGATTTACTATTATACTTCTACTATTTCTAAAATCTTCTTAGTACGATTATGTTTTTAGTACGGTCTATGATTTGACTTCAGAACGTTACGATGCATTCCCCGTATTAGACGAAGTACTCGGCACGCCGGCCAAACTATCATGGCTTCTGTGCTGTTTCCGCGCCGTAAACCTCGTTTAGTAACAGGTACAACAAGAATACATGTATAAGAATGTATCTGAATCGTATGTAGTGTGTTTTTGTGTTTTTGGTAGATGTTCTTGAATAATCACTCGAGTCTGGAATTTTTTAGACATATTCTAGATGTTCTGTCATGCAGCCGATGCCGGCGCGTTCCGTGCCGTCTGAAGTATGCAATAGCGCGATCAAGGCCGATTAGACCCGGGGAACTTTTAATAATATCTGTGGAATTTTTTTAGTGTGTTGAATGACGAAATAAGACAAATTGTAGCACAGTTGCGAATTATTGTTGGTGGCATAAGGAAATTAAACATGGCTTGAATGAGTGTTGGGGCATTGTTAATTGTGTGAATTAAAGAACAATAGGGGCGGGGAAAGGCGCGCATATGAAAGGACAAGATCGCGGGAAAAAAACAGCGACTCGAAGTGTCACCAAAACATGCCAAGGCCCCGCCCGCTAAAGCGTGAACCAATCAGCTATTGTTGCCAATAGTGAAATGACTGATTGACACCGATTTCTCATTAATATTAATGATTTCCAAGTGAGGATTTTTGATGGCCTTTTTGACCATCGTGATCACATGGCACTGTGCGTTATGTTACAAGCTTAGCAGACTATCGCCTGTATTTCTAAGTAACTAGATGTAACACTAGCCCCGTTTTCGGCAACACGTTCTATCCAGCTGTAACGTTAGTCGCGTGTTCGTCAACACATTCGAAATCTTACCGGAAGATGTTAGGAATTAAGGTTAGGTTCCACGAACAAATCTGCTTTCCTGTTACTAAGGTTGTAGAATGAGGAATGCAGAATGAAACTTTACTTGGAAAATGATGGCCGAAGTATAATAGCCTCTACAGTGTCAAAGAAAGTAAAGTAAAGCAACTTGAGAGAACATACAACTACTGTGTGATCAACTTATACTACTTCTACTACTAACGTTACGTTTTCTATTCATTATAAAGTTTGATTTCTTCTGTGGATAATGAATAGTCCCATGTTCTATATAATGAGTGGATTTTCTGATCTTAGTAGAAACTTCAATATAGTCTTTGTTCGATAATCTTTTAAGTGGTTAAATAATGGGGAAAATTGTGGCAACTAAACATGTAACATGTTTGAAATAATTTCTTTGAAATGATATCAGCTTGATGAAAGCATACATCTGGAAATATCACGTACTTCGCAGAAAAAAATGTACAACGTACAGTCATGATCCATCAGTGCATGTACTATTTTTATTTATTTTTTCCGTTTCCTCTTAAACTACCCCTCCCTGAGGTCTTCAGGGATCGCTTCCAAAAACAGGAATGACCTTAAATAACCCCATGTGCCTGGCGGAATGCTCTTGAACGCTGCGTAGTGCGTAGTCTGATCGGGCGGCACCAAAAAGTTCACCGTGCCCGGCCGGTACGAATAGTTTCATCAGGTTGGTAAGACACCGATTAAAGAGACCTTTTTCACACAACCATGTCTTTTATTCAGCTGACGTTTTGGTGACCGTCTGTCACCTTCCTCAGGGCAATTCTGACTGGTTCACATTGCACTGCAGCACAGGTGTCGCTGCTATAGATGCATTCCCAATCTATAAGCCCGCTATAGATGCAATCCTAATTCCGATAAATATTGTACGTTTGGGGATACATCTATAGCAGCGACACCTTTGTTGTGCAATGTGAACCAGTCAGAATTGCCCTGAGGAAGGTGACATACGGTCACCGAAACGTCGGCTGAATGAAAGACTTGGTTGGTTTACTCGGTATGTCCGCAACATTCCGCGAAGCTTTAGGGTTAAGTTCCGGGTCGCGTGGTACAAATTAGAAGCCTTAAAGCCTCTTGAAGACAAAAAGAGGCGCCGCCGAAAAAATTAAGGCGTTGAAAAAAGCCAGGGCGTTGGCAGGTGTTGACGGGAACACACGTACACTTCCACACACATGCTAGACAACCGCAGCTGATGGTAGTCAAAACACAATTTGTACATTTTTGAGAAACGTTGCCAAATTTTGCTGAGATAGATGAGCCCCCCCCCCCTCACATATTTATTCCTGTATCTGTATCTTTTTAGCCGGTATAACCGCCAGGCCTTCGACGTAACACGCCAGCTTCACAGGCACGCGGCGCGGCGGCAGCTGGCTACCTTACACCGAACGACTTGTTACTTCTAACCCTTCCCCTGTATTTCATATACATAGACGTTTTTGATATACCTTGGCTTTTAGTATATATCGATGTATGTCCTTAAGTTAAAGATGTATGTGCAGCTCTGAAGAACAGCTTTCACCAAACTATTTCATTCATAGACTGCACATACAAACTGGAGCCTCTATGGCCGGTCACCTGGCCAGCTATATTTTTAGGCCGATTGTCTGGTGGAGACTACGTAACTATGGCATAACACCTGCCGCATTAGAGAACCTTAGCCCGCCTCCAAGAAGTCTGCGAGATAGGCTAACAGCTTCACAACAACTCACGCCACTCCCTCATGTAGCGTGTGAAGTATCTTATCAATACCTTCTCTGGTACCCAGTTTGGGGGAAACCTAGGAGATAGCGTAATCCCCTCAACTCAAAACAGTCGTAGTGAAAACCTAGGTTTGGCTCAGTGCCACCCTGGTGGGAGAAAACACCGTGTTTTGCTACCACCCATGGTCACCCTTCACGTACCGTCTTACTCTGGCGAGGAAAGACGTCATTTAACCACTTAAAGACGTCACAGTCAAGGTCAACTCTAAGTCGCTTGGCGTTGAAGGATAAGGTCACGCTGCTTAGCACGTACTTTCCACACTAATGCAAGTCTTAGTGCTAACTCTCGGGCAAATGCTTTGAGTCTATTGCAAAGGGGAGTACTGGTACTTCTTCAACAAAGTAGTATGTTTGTAGGGTAATTTGGTTCTTTGGTTTTTAAAAGAGAGGTTTATTGAAAATTCATGCCAGGAGGCTAATTGTAAATTACAAACCTAAAAGAGCACTGAAACAGAGTATGAAATGACTAAATGTACATAATGAAAGATAGTTGTCTAAAACCATATTGGTTGGTTGGTTGGTTGGTTGGTTGGTTGGTTGGTTGGTTGGTTGGTTGGTTGGTTGGTTGGTTGGTTGGTTGGTTGGTTGGTTGGTGGATCACTTTATAATAGACCAAATTACATACTATCTTGTAGTATCAAAAAGATCAAATGAACTGTAGTTACCGATAAAACATATAACAACGAAATTAAAGATCGGATGAAAAGATTATTTGTACACTACCAAACCGGCTTCCCCAGGATGCAAGTCTTCCGCTCTTCCAAGTACATAACGTCACTGTTTTTGTTTTCTTCTTTCATGTTTGCCGTACTTGAAGCACGTACTTGGCATCGCGTCTTGAAGTCGATATGTTCTCGCGGAAACCGATGTGTACAAGGGTGGCGGGGCGGAGGAAACGCGGGAAGGAAGAAGTCATCGACTTGGCGGTCTGGGCTTCCTTGAGCGGTGTCAAAACAGTCGCAAAAGGAGAGAGAAGGAAACAAACACACGAGGGACACAAGTCGCGAGAGACGAAACGCAGGACACGAGTCTGTCACTGGTTATTCTTGCAGGCACTTTAAGTGATCACCAGTGTCCACAGACTTCAGTGATTGTAACAGGGAACGGAAAGAGAGCTTCCGAAAGATACAGGACCACTTATGAATCCTTGTCAGCACTCAAGACATGAGGTCTAAATCCCGGAACACACACTCAGTCAGCCGAACCCGCAGCAAAATAAACTTTAAGTTTATCGGTCACGAACAAGGTGATGACCTCCGTGAACTTTGATAAGCTCCACATACATAAACTACAGGTAAACTGTAAAATTGACGCCCAAAGTTTACAGTGCGATAAAGGATAATACAATTTGACATACAATACATCCTTGAGTAACTGAGTTTTTGGCGAAATGCATCACTGGCCTTAGATATATATTCAAACAAAAATGTTTGTATGAAATGGCTATTTAATTGAGGGAAGAAGGGGGAAAGGTAGCCTAAAGTAATATATATATATATTTGAAGCAAGTTAAAGCGTGTAGAAATGGAGCCTTAACCATACTTCGTGAGAATTAAAGAGCGGATTTCGTGCAGAATGTCTGTAGTGCCAGATGTGTTATAACATTGTAGCTATAAAAACGACGGGACTCTGATCAAAATCTCTTTCTATCGAGTTCCTCCTTCTTCACATGACTTCACCTGACCGTCCGGTCATATGAGGAAAGTCAAAACAAAGCTAAGAAGGAATGAGGAAACTTGGAGGAATTTTGATGACGATTATTCAGACTATCTCGTACCATTCTGTACAAGGCCACGACGCTCGATGACCGAATATTTGCGAATTTACACTTCCTCGTAATCCACATTCCTGCTACGCATCGTGACTATGTTCATGTACGTGTAAATGATAGTATTACTCCGGTATGGCTTAATTTAGATAGAGACTTCCGGGGAGTGGACAATAGCAACAAATACGATCATGATTATGTGAGTTCCATCTGGTTATGCGACGAGAATTTCTGTTATACCTTTATAGTCTCCAAGCAGATCCTACGGTGGCAAGACATTATCTACTAGTATTAGTTAGCACCTTTCGGAAGCTAATCTGGTCAATGGATACTGTCTTTTTGCCATAGTAGGATCTGCTTGGAAATTAACAATATCCGTGTCTTGTGATATCCCTCCCCCCTCTCTCTCTCCCTCTCTCTCTCCCTCTCTCTCTCTGCTCTCTCGCTTTCTTTTAATAATTAGTCTCATTTGCCATGAAGTCTACTATATGTATTTGTCTTACAGACGTGGAAGGTTTGATAAGGATAATAAGAAAAGTGTATACTTTTATAAAGTGACTTCAATGACCTAATGTGACTTCTACAAAACACAACAAGGTCCAGAGAGTTCATTTTAGGTCAGTATGTATGACTAAGTGCTACACTCATTTCACAACAATGGTAACAATGTGGTAAGTAATTTGAAATTAAGAGTCTTTCCTGTTTTATTCGGTATTCTTTCTGCCTCTCTTTTTTCAGACAATGATTTTTCCATAATGCAAGGCTATGAAATTCCCATTGAAAAAAGACGCTCGTTGTTGCGACAAGAATGTATAAAATCTGTCAGCTGCCACTCCTGTTCAACATAACTGATAATCCTATGACAACCTGTGGTTTTCTCTGTCCTTGAGTCTACCGAAACCACCGTCCATAACATTCATGCCTGTCATTTTTTTATGTGGACGAACAATTCGCGCCACGCCGCTAGCCTCTACCAGGCTTCAGGAGGCGGCTGGAAAGAGTAGAAATCGGCCAAAATAGAGAGATAAGCATGTCAAGGGAGTTTGGCCGTTGAGAGAACAGTGTGGGGCGGCGAACTGTTCTCTCAACGG